CCCTGCCTCCTTGATCCAGCTGTATGCAATAACCTACCTCACTGTTCAACTCTACACAATAAACATGCTGAACTTTCGGCGTATTGCAGCTTCTTCATCAGAGAGTCCAGTACATCTGATCCTAGCTTTTCTGTACAGAGGCCCCTATATCTTGTCTTGTTGCCCCAGTTAGGTCAATCCCTGAACCTAAGTAAAACTTGGAAAGTACATTAACTCAGGAAGTAGAATGGCTTTTATTTGCATATGCTCATTGTTTAACACATTTTTTTCTTTTCTTCTCACTATCCCTAAATATGTGTTTTAAAATAGGATGAAGAACATTTCTTAAAGTGAGGTAAGCAATACATCAATAAAAGCTCAGGTAATCCAGAAAGGAACTGACTGGATGAGGAGTATGCTGCTATTCATAGTGCTTTCAATTTTAATCATTAGATACATTTAAAAAGTCACTAAATTTTTTTTTCAAGTATTATGATATGCTAAGAATTTAAAATATTACTGCCTGGCATATAGTAGATAATTTTATTGTAATAATTAATTTAAAAAAGAAAAGAGAAACAAAAAATAATAAATGAAATACTTGTAACTATATTGAATTCCTTAGCATCAAAGGTTAACATCATTTCTGTCTGTAGCTACTAACTGGCAATAACATATAAAGAACATAATTTCAGTATAACTGGGAAACTCGATGTTCTTTGACTTAAGACTCTAATAAATTTTGAGTTCTACACTTTTAGTACCTTTCTTTAGATAGGTCTACAATGTCTTCTCAAAAACAAATGAATGTAATATAAGGGAGATATTTATAATAAGGATGGTGTGATGGTTCACGTGTATAAACCCAGCTCTTAGGAGATAGAGGTTGTGGGTCTCAGGTTAGCCTGAGCTACACAGAAAGACATTATCAGTCAACCAGCCAATCAATCCATAAACAATTTTTTAAAAATTAAAACAAGCACTATCATTAGTCCCCCCCTCAAAAAAAAGTGGCAATAAAAAACTGAAGTTGGGGCTTGGAAGATAGGTCAGCAGGTAAAGAGTTTGCTGTGCAACTGTGAAGACCAGAGCTCAGATCCCCAGAATCTACGTAAAAATCCAGGTGAGCTGGTTTCCATGTATAAATCCCAATATGTGAGAGGCAGAGATAGGGAACGGGATACCAGGTTCAGTAAGAAACCCTGCTTCAATACATAAGGCAGAAAGTGAGTGAAAAGGAAAATTGATGTTCACCTCAAGCCTATACATGTGCACACACACGTCTATTCATACATATTATACATACACACAAGAAAAAAGTGAAATACAGTATATTAACTCCTAATCTCTATTTTATACCCTAAATATACTACAGGTTAGAGGACTGAGGGGAAACATCATTAATATAAAATGAAATGTACCTGTACTTACAGCGTGAGCTTGTTGTTTAAACAACTGATTCTGATTCTCTCCATCTCCGTCTTCTGTTGCATCCCCAAGCACCTGGGAAGGGGGTAACCTACAACTTCCAACAGCAGCGTTCAAATTGCTGGAGAAAACACTTGTCCTTTTAGGAGTTAAATGTGTCGGATCTAAACACTGCATGGCTATAGAGCCTTCCTTTTCTGCCTACACAAAGGAAAAAGGGGGGATAATGAGACTCTAGTCCCTTCTAACACAAATAATCCCTCCCAGCAGCCATAAGATTTCCAACCAAAACAACAGAGTAGGGGGCAGGAAGCCTTAGCTGACACAGTAGCCAACATTTACCAGACACCTACCATGTGCTAATAATTTAACTAGACTATCCCACCCAGCTCTTCTACAATCCAGGAAGATTCAGTATCACATCATATTGTAATGGCTAATGGTGGCTGTCAACTTGACCACATCTGGAATCAAGGAAATCCCAAGCAACTGGGCACACCTGGGAGGGACTTCCTTGATTGGATGACTGAGGTGGGAAGACCCACCCTAAATTTAGCCATTCATTCTAGGAATTCAAACTTAAATCTATACCCATGAAAGGGGAAAAAAAGGCAAGTCAGAACAACACAGGAATAAAAACAGTTTCTCTACATGAAAATTGACTGGGCTCCGTAGACAACTGGATTTTAACAACACAGAATCAAAGGCGAAGCGACCCCGATGAGGCCTCACAGCTTGTCTCACAGTACACAAGCTTCCCACCACAGCTAGCTCACTTAGGGACTCACTGCTTTGTAGGACTTCTGAAGGTGTTGCTTTTTCCTCAGTTTAACTTGCTGATTTACCCGGTGTTGGACCTGTCTCTGAAAATGTTTCAGAGACTCTTGTTTTCTTCGTTGCTGTTTCTTTATTTCCTCTTCAATCATGTATGCTGAAGCCTTTGAAAAGACAGAAAATGAACTTAAATGTCATCAGTTTTGCCCATGAGGAACGTCATGAATACAGAAAAGGTAGTCTATAATTATGACCGGGTGTCCAGAGGAGCAAGGAAATCAGAGTTAAACCCACTGTCTAAGTGTAGCTAGCAAGTCCCAGGAGCTCAGAGCAAGTCAAGAGCTTTAAAAAATGGAATGTGTGAATATCATATCAAATCTTAATGTTTTATTCAATCAACTAAAATCAAAGACGTCTTCATTAATTCTTAATGAACTTGACCCTGTGTCATGGCTTCTGATATGAATAGACAGTAGAAATACCATATTGCTCACCATTCACCAGACATGTTTCCAATGTATAGTGCCTTCATACTTAGAATTAGCCATCCCCTTCTTGGGTGGAGGGGAGTACGTCACTATTATAGCCCCAGCTAGTCTGCAGCCCACTACATAGTTAAAGCTGACCTCAACCTCCTGTCCCTGTCTCCCAAGTGCCTTTCACTCCATTTTTAATGTAGCTTTCCTTTCATCCATCTAGTAAAGGCCTTCTTAGTCTTCAAGATTATCCAGCAATCTCCTCTGAGCTCTTATGCTATAGCACATTTCATTTTAATATGAATAAAATGTAGCACTAATTCTCCTACTAGATTATGAATTCTGAGGGCAGGAAATGTTTAACACTCCTTTCTTTGGGTAATTTATATATGATGAAAATAATGCTTAAATTATATAGAAATTGGTCTTCAAAAATGATATATCTTAGCCTAAATAATCAGTTCTCTTGGTACTGACACTACTGTGTAGTCTCTTAGCCCACATGGAATTGTATCTATCTATGCATAAACAGAATGAGCAGAGATGTTGGGTCTACGACTTCCCCAACAAGGTCATTAAGTAACTTCTACTGAAGCTCTGAAAAGCTCACCATGGGGGAAAGCCAGTGCCACAAAAGAATTCTGACTACTCTGAGACTCCCATGGTCAACGGAAACACAGCTAGTTAAACTAGCCAAATCACATGAAAGATATCCAGCCACCCTCAGCTAGTCTAGTCATCCTAGCTCAAATTACACACATGAAAAAGTCTTACTGAACACGATAGCCTGCAAAGACCCAAGAACTTTAAAAGCCAGAACCCATCAAGCTGTCCCAAATACATCCAGTTACTTAAGCCACTCAGCCGAGGCCCAGGCCACCAAAGTAGATAAAAGGCACGCCACTTTACTCTGTGTACACACCGGACACACAGCATTACCTGCTTTATGCCACGATGTTTGCATATGGCTTGTTATACAACAAGACAATGGGGGGTGTGATACGCAAGAGAACTTATATAAGACCACAGTGATTTTTTTTCATACTATGCACCTTCAAGATCCCTTGGAATGTAGAATAGGTTATGCCCTTAGAGTAGCCAAGTAACTATTTACCCCATCTTTGAATTGACAGTGCTGTGCTTGTTTATAAGGATGGCTTCCCAGATTAAATATGCTGAAGTAATAAAGAGCTCTACCAAATGCTTGATCAAACTCCCTTTGACTGGAACTGATTAACAGGATTATTTAAAAATAGGAAAGGAGACAATCTGTGCATATTTCAAGACTTTAAATATTCTGAATGTGTGAAAACTTAAAATTAAACTATTTCAAACAACGAAAAAGGTGTTATGATAACAAATTTTGAACAGTTTGATACTACTGAGATTATAAAGGTATCTGAGTAATTAAAAGAAGTATTGGGCCAGTGAGATAGCTCAGCAGGTAAAGGTTCTGATGAGCTGAGTTCCTTTGCCAAGGCCCTCATGGAGGGAGGAGAGAACCAATTTCCACATACACAAATAATAGATAGAATTAAAGTGTATTGACTTCAGTAATAAAAGAACTTTGTATCAATTTTTAATTATTGATTTCTATTTCACTCACCTTTTTCAGGGCTTTCTCTCCTTTACTCCCCATTACTAAAGAAATTCTGATGATATGCTTCATGTCTAAATTGTTTTAATTTATTCTAATTTGTTCCCCTAAATCTAATCTCTCCCTAACCCTTATAACTTTGAGGCAATTAATCTAATTCAAACACTTTGATCATGGAACATATTTATAAATATTAAATAGTGAACAAAATCAATATTCCTCAAGACTTCCTATAGTTTGCCACTGCCCTGATTTTCAAATTCTGTCATGTATTAAGTCTTCCACTCCAATCAATGTAATCCATCCTTATAATCCTGCTTACTTCCTACTATCCTCAGTCCCCAGCTTCTTTTAAACTTTCCTGGGTTCATACCAACCAAGACATATTTCTTCTTTAAGTGAGATAGTCTTAGCACTTAATCACATGCAGTCCAACTCTTGAATTCCTTCCTGAAAGGTGACAAGCTAGGCATAAATTAATGAATATGTAACGATATACATGACGAACATAAATAAAATTAACTTACTATACTGCATTGTTATTAACATTAGTAACTGGGGGGAGTTGATGACTTGGGTTCTGACTTGGTTCTTATATCTGACCTGGACCTCCCAAGCTGGCCTCAAATTCAGAGATTACCTGCTGCTGCTCCCGAGTGCCGGGATAAAAGGCGTGTGCCACCATATCTAGCCATTTATAATTTTTTAATATCTTTATCTTTTTGTGTATGGGTGTGTTGCTGCATGTATGTCTGTGCATCACATATTTGAAGTGACCTCAAGGACCAGCAGGTTTAGATTCTCTGGAACTGAAGTTAAAAACAGTTGCCTAGTGGGTGCTGGGAATTCTGGAAGAGTAGCTATTACAGTGCTCGTATCTGCTGAGCCATCTCTCTAGCCCCACATTTATAATTTTCAAAATTTATTCTGTATGTGTGTGTGTGTGTGTGTGTGTGTGTGTGTGTGTAGACATGTGCATGCCATAGTCTGTCTCATGTGTGGAGATAAGAGGATTTTCAGAAGTTGGCTCTCTTTCTCTCTCCCTCCACCTGGTTTTGAGGCAGGGTCTCTCTTTGCTTCAGGTTAGTTGGCCCACAAGCTTTTGCAAGATTCTCCGGTCTCTAGCTCCCATCTCAATACAGAAGTGTGGGGATTACAGATGTACACCATCCCATCTAGCTTGTACCTGGATTCCAGGACCATAACCTCAGGTCATCAGGCTTACACAAGTACTTTTATCTGCTAAACCATCTCCCCAACCCTTATATAATATTTAAATGTGTCTTGTTTGTCCTGGAAAATCAAGAACACTGAGAATATATTTTTCATCCATGTTTAGTTCCTTGTCTACACTAAGAACATTGCAGATTTCCTGCAATCCATAAACATTTTCTGGGTATCTACATAAATTAGGTAATATTTATTTAATATAAAAACAGGGGTTGTGGAACATTTGTTCGCTATGCACAATAAAAGGTGAACAAAGAGCTAAGGGACAGCCCGTTGAAACACTAAACAAAAACCTTGCAAAACAGCTCTCATGTGTAAGCATGATACTCATTCAAACATTTACATGTGGTAAACTTTCAAAAGGGTGTCCCTTCATCTGAAATGCTTCTTCCTGTCCGCAGCAACTGCATTTCTGTTCTTTCAGGACCAACAAAGACCGTATCTTCTCATTCAGTCAACAAATACGTCCTAAAAGGCCTACTTTACACCAGAAGAGGAAGGAATGAAAGTCTCCCTGTCCTTGTGGAATTTACAATTTTCTCTGTGTTTCTGTCAGGATTAAACTCTTTCTATTCTATTTTCTTAATTCATTTTGCCTTGATCTTCATTTAAAAACTTAAAAACTTTGAGCAACTAATTAACATTTCAAGTGTGACCAACGGTCATTCATATCATGTTACAGAGTGTTTGCAAGATGTACACAGCAAACAATCAAGTTTGTGAAATAAACTACTGGTCCACGAATTATGTTCTGTATGGTGAGTAATAGGTAAATAGGTACTTAAATAGTACTTGATTATGCCAACAAAAGATGGCAAATACATCATTATTGTATAATCCCTACACAAGAATAATCTATAACAGAATAGAAACAGCATTCTTCAGCTGTTGATCTCTAAGCACCAAAAATTAGAGAAGCCTACTTAAAAAAAAAAGTGGACAGGGATCTCTGTATCTGGGTCAACTGACACTCACATGTGCGGGGATTTCCGAGCAATTTGGTGAGGCAGGTTCCACCCATGCCCCAACTGGTATTATGGCCTGGTTCCTCTCAGCCAGCACTGCCAAAACGTCCTTACTCTTCGTGGGGTTTAAAGCCAGGGGTAATTTTGTGGGATTCCGAGGCTTCTTGAGGGGCGCCATACCTCCTGGCATCTGATTTCTGTTTAGGAGAAAAGAGAGGGGCAAGAAATAAAGACGAGGGGAAAATGGTTTGAAAATTACTTTCTGGGAGGAATGGAAAGAAAGGGAAGGAGAAACGAGGATTAGTTTGGGAGACGGAAAACTGCTCAGAGTTGAGCATAGGTGGGCGGTGGGGACAGGACTTGGCGCCCTCTGCAGCGAGAAGCGCGGACCAGGGCGGGGAAGCTGTGAAGTTCGAGCAGAAGAAGCACGGGCAGTTGGACAGGGGAACCTGTGAAGCCTGGAGGCCGCCGGGACCCGGACCTCCTCACACTCAAACTCCGCGGGCTGTTGTGGAAAGCCGGGACAACAAACCGCCACTCCGCGTCGACGCCTGCCCTGCCCCTTCCGGCTTCGCGTCATCCCTCAGGGCAGGGAAGGTGCGAGGGGCGGGGATCCGGGCACTGGGAGGGGAGGGTTCCGTCACTTCCGCTTCCTGCCCTTTGGACGGGAGGGACAGAGCCGGTTGGGGAAATCTCCGAGTTTAGGTTCTGCCTCTGCCTGGTTGCTGGCGCTGTAGTTATCTCAAATTTATTTTCATTTTTATTTTTTTGGTTCTTTTGAGACAGGGTTTCTCTGCGTAGCCCTGACTGTCCTGGAAATCTCTTTGTTGACCAGACTGGCCTCGAACTCAGAGGTCTGCCTGTTTCTGCCTGCCAAATGCTGGAACTAAAGGCGTGTGCCATCACTTTGCCTGATTTGTCATCTCCTAATCTGTAAGAGGGATGTCTGGCATGATGTGCGGGCGGGCAAGGGAACGCAGTGAAAAAAAGCACCCAAAAGGTGATTCTCAACCTGTTGGTCACGACCGCATTTGGTCGCATATCAGATATTCTTTATATCTGATGTTTAATTACAGCAGTAGCAAAATTGCATTTTTGAAGTAGCAATGAAATAAATTTTATGGTTAAGGTCACCACAACATGAGAAACTGTATTGAAGGGTTGCTGCATTAGGAAGGTTGAAAACCACTGGTCTAGAACATCCTGCCAGGGCATCCTCAAAATACAGATTAAACCAATAAATAGTTAAGCATCCTGCTCCTTTATGCCATTCATAAGGTTTACAACGCAGTTTCACGATTATCCTCAACATGTTCTTATGTGTGACCATTGCAACCTAGTGAGTGGTCTCCAAACACTGCTTGGGCATTTCATTATACCTGAGAGATACAGAGTCATTGTTTTGTTGTGAGTGCGTGCGTGCGTGCGTGCGTGCGTGCGTGCGTGCGTGTGCTGAGGGTTGAACCTTGAGCTTCTGGCATGCTAGACAAGTGCTGCAGCAAAATCTCCGACCCCCTTTACACTTTTGCTTTTGGTTTAGGGTCCACTAAAGTGCCCATGCTGAACTGGAACTCACTGCGTAGGCCAGAACTGGAACTTGCAATCCTCCTGCTTTAGCCTTCCCAGTGGCTGATGTTACAGGCATGTGTCATCAAGCTTCACTTCAACATATATTCTTGTTTGGGGGATTTATTGTACAGTTAAGGAACATAGAACATAACTGAAAAAGTTTCACTAAGACACTTGAGGTTATTCTTTGTGTTCTGTTTTTATTTTCGCTTTCCTCAGTACTAGAGTAAGCCCAGGGCCCCATTCAAGCTAGTCAAAAACTATATCCTCTGTCAATTTATTTTTAAAAACTAAAGCACTTTCAAGCAAGGACTATATGAGATCATGGAACAAGCCATAATAAGCTTCAAGGGAGAGTTTTAGGTATTTAATTGATTGTCTGATAGGTTTTAATGGGATCTCCAATGTAGCTCATGCTCTTCCTGCCTCAGCATCTCAAGAGCTGGAATAATAGGCATACAGCATCATTGAACTGAGGTATAAGAATATTCCAGGTAGGAGCTGAAGAGACGGATGGCTCAGTGGTTAAGACTGCTTCCTGATCTTACAGAGGACAAAAGTTCATATCCTGGCACCCATGTGCTGACAACCTCTTATAACTCCAGCCCAGGAACCCAGTGTTCTCTTCTGGCCTCCCTAGGTGCCTACAAACACACACACACACACACACACACACACACACACACACACACACACACGAATGTTCCAGATAGAGAGTGAGCATCAGTGTGGGAGCACTGACTGAGAAAAGTGAAGGGGACTAGTATGCCTGGAAGAGGGTGAAAGGAGAAGAACTGAGGCAAGATGACAAATCACATAGAGCATGTTGAGCAGTACACTGTGCTGAGACAGAGCACCATTACAGGATTGTGAGCTACTGAGTGCCAATTTGTCTTGAATTTAAAAAACAAATCATCATTCTGTATGTGATGTTGAGAATTAAACAGGAGTGGCAAAAAGGGAGGAAAGACTAGTTAAGGGCTAGTTAAGAGGCCATTGCAATAGCTCCATTAGGAATTTATGATGTCTTTGCCCCCGGTGCAGTGGTAGAAACGGTGAGAAAAGTTGTGAGATTCTGGGTGTATTTGGGAAGCAAGATTTTGAAGACCTGTTGAATGCTTAGCTAGGAATCTTGTGTTGTGGATGTCGCAGGGTGAGCAGTCAAGGAAAACTGGGGTTTCCTCTTGAGTCTACAGGATAGGATTGCTTTTTTCTGAGGTGGTGAAGATAGTCAAGGAGTGGAGTTGGGGTGGGAGAAGATCAGGAGCTGAGAATAAAGTTTCACTTACATATTCAACATCCAAGAACATAGTGGGGTAAAAGTGCCTGGAGGAGAGTTCTGAACTGAAAGGATAAATCTGAGAGTTATTAGCCTATAGATTCAAATCAATAACTCACTAGTCAATGAGTATAAACAGACTGTAATTGTCATGCCTGGAAAGGATGAGGATGCTCTAAAGAGACAATTGTGTCCCTAACTATGGCTGTCTGGACTGTTGGAACCAAGCAGCCCCCAGGGAATTGGATTTTGCCACAAGAATCTCATGATTGGAGAAGGAAAAGGCTGATATCCAGTGTCAGCCATCAGGGAACTTGATTCCCCAAAATCAGAGAGATTTCACAGAGTGCTAATAATTTGTCAGACCACCCTGCAAGAGACAGGACCTGAGTGAATAACCATACCTTGATCAGGGTTGCTTAATGATGCCTTCTGTTTAAACTTTATCCTCATGTTTGGACCGCTGGAAGATGGACCCCTTTCTTCCTCTTCCCAATGTGATCACATTTAATAAATCACTTTCTGCTTTTCTTTTTGCTTGTTTGTTGTTTGGTTTTTAGTTTTTTGGGACAGGGTTTCTCTGTGTAGCCCTAGCTGTCCTGGAACTAGCTCTGTAGACCAGGCTGGTGTCTGCCTTCTGGATGCTGGGATTAAAGGCATATACCCCCACTGCCTAGCCATTTTCTGCTTATCATTTTTAATATGACTCTTTTAATTGCCTAATCAAGGACATGTGGCCAAACCCAGCTTGTTAGGGCAGCTAAGGCATGTTCTCTGATCCCTAACTTATCTGATCCCTATTATTATTTAATAATAAGAAAATAAGTCTTAGCCGGGTGGTGGTGATGCACACCTTTATTCCCAGCACTTGGGAGACAGAGGCAGGTCGATCTCTGTGAGTTTGAGGCCCACCTGGTCTACAAGAGCTAGTTCCAGGACAGGCTCCAAAGCTACAGAGAAACCCTGTCTCAAAAGAAAAAAAAAAGATTAAAAAAAAAAAAGAAAGAAAGAAAGTCCTCCTGGATATCTAACACCCTCTGCTCACCTCTGTGAGTTCCAGGCACTCACATAGTGAACAAATGTGCATTCAGGCAAAACAACTATGTGCATTAAGTGAAATTAAACGAAGAATTAGAACATTGGACAAATTATTCAGGAGAAAACTGAAATCACAAAAAAATGACAAAAAACAGATTGGCCATTGCCAGAAATCTTTGAGGCATTTCAGAAAAATATCTGCAAAGTGGTAGATGGATATAAGTTGGAAAACAGTAAATGCTATAGTCAGATGATGCAAGATTTAAAATTAGAGATGAGGTTAAGAAAAAGGGGTTGGTTAGAAATAGCACTGAATAGCAAGACAGAATTCATCCTGCCTCCACCCATCTGAATAATAGAACACAATCACTACTTGGGGACAAAGAGATTAAGTTGCGCTTGTGTGTGTGTGTGCACATACACTATAAAAAGGTATTGTTAGATGGCTTCTTGTCCTCTCCAAACCTTTATTTCAAATTCTTTATTTTCCACTAAAAGCTAGGTCAGATGTTTTCTGAAAGTCCATACTCATAAATCCAGAGAATTCACACCAGAGATTCATCTCCTTTTCTGACCTTTTCTGCAAAGCTTATATTCGCCTGGCTGAGATTGGTTGCTCAGCAAGGGAACTGTTGACTTTGAAAAAAGTCCATTTTCAAAAGTTTAAAATATCAAGAGTTGCTGGAAACAGAGTGTGGAGTCCTAACTCTGGAGCAGCCCTCAGTAGAGTTGGGCAATCCTTTTTCTGCGGCTGGGAATCCCTGATCATGTCTGCACAAAGCCCCAAGTCTCTGCATTCTTGGCAGCCATCCACCTAACACAGAACCAATTGTTTGTTGAAGACCAGGGAGGGGGTTGTTATTTGCTCACTACTTTCCTGATTGTGACTAGCTGAATCATACTTGTAACAATATATAAAACTTTGTTACATGTTAAGTCCTCAGAGCCTATGCCAAGGAGAAGCTCTTTAACAGTAACAAACCTTCTAGCCCAACTCCTCGAGGAACAGAGTGTTAGGACCCCAACCCTAGGCAGCTGAGTCATACCCACTTTGATCTCCTCCCCAAAGAGAGCAGGATTTCCCACAGCCAGCCAATGCTCTGGCGAATTCCTAAAAGCAGACCATAGTGCTGTCCATCTCTGTTCTTTTTCCTCCCTCACCATCTCAAAGGTAACTTTTCTAACTAGAAGATACAGAAGGGTCCTTCTGCTTGCTGGGCAGATTGGGTTTTTGCAATAGCATTTCAGTGTAAATGGCACCACAAATGGCACCTGATTTTTCTCAACGGCATCTGCTACAGTGCCTTTTGCAAAAGACTCTCTAATTTTACCATGGATATAGAGTCTTTTTATCCTTTTTCTTGGTGTGTGGTTAAAAAGAAGAAGTAGGAGGAGAGGGAGAAGGAGGAAGAGGAGGAGGAGGAGGAGAAGGAGGAGGAGGAGAAGGAGGAGGAGGAGGAGGAGGAGCAACAACAATAACAACAACAACAGCATAGGGGTCTTTCAACATTTCCAAATATATATCTAGGACAGACAAGAAATAAAAAGCCCATATCCTTGTCCAGGAAAGATTTGTCACATTTTAGGAGCATTGTAATTCCTTTAACTGTTTTCTCCTCAACCTCTCCCTCTGATGATGTGAGATGCGGAGCTTCTAATAAGATTAGCTCTCAAGGCTATCCCA